CACTTTCTCCAGGCAACAACAGACAGAACAAGAGGACACAGTCTCAAGCTGCGCCAAGGGAGATACAGGCTAGAATTAAGGAGGAAGTTTTTCACAGAAAGAGTGGTCGAATACTGGAACCATCTACCCAGGGAGGTGGTGGAGTCACCATCCCTTGATGTGTTTAAAAAAAGACTGGATGTGGCACTTGGTGCCATGATCTAGCTGAGGTGTTAGAACATGGGTTGGACTCGATGATCTGGAAGGTCTCTTCCAACCTAGAAATACTGTGATACTGTAATTAAAGACATCTCCATTGTTCAAATAGTAGGATTGTTTAATTCATATCAGATGGTTTTCCTTAAACTTAAAAAAATAAAAACTCACCTTTCAGAACATTATTGGAAATGTTGTAACAAAAATAGCTTTCATTTTTTTTTTTTTTTTTGTATGGTAGTATTCATTTGTTTGCTCTCTTACTAGAATGACTAACAGTATGGTTTGGTATCATTTTAACCAATTCCAATCTAGCTTGAATATAGAGCCATACAAATTCTCTCTGTACAGACATTAAAGATAGACTGGAACCTTCAAAGGATGTTTCATCTAATCCTAGAATAGCATTATTATAGGACAGCTGGGCTGCCCTCAATGTGACTGTCTTTCACCATTGATCAGAGAGTCTGGAGGGCAGGCTTAGATGTGAACAGTTAATTTTTTTGTAGGGAAGCCCAGGTGATCTAAACCCATTCTGTGGTGCAGGAGGAAGGGGCACTGGATTATGTCTCCTGTTAGAAACCATGTGGACAATTAATTGCAATACAGCCTTCTAAGTACATTAGTTGCATTACTCCCAGCTATGAGATAAGTCGACCCTTGGACAGGAATTGGGGCATCTGAATTTTACCCCAGCCCAGGAGAGCACTTTTGAAGCATCTGTCCCACTCACCCCCACCTCCTCCAGTTTGGCTCACGTGTCAGAGCAGTCCTGCTTGAGCCAGGCTTCTTCCCAGGGTTGCAAACCCATATTGCGTGCTCCAGGATCACAGGAAAGGATCTTCAATTGCTCCTGGGCATCCAGGCCTTGAAGACTTAGTGTAAATCAGAGTTCCAAGAAGTAACATCACATCATCGTTGTGCAATGACTTTTAGAAAGGTGAGTGTGGATTCACTGTGCTCTGAAAGAAGCAGAAGGCAGTAGTCGCTAGAGGGAGCCCCTAAATCATCATATCCTACACCAAACCCCGCTTCAGCTCTTAAAAGTTGAAGCACTTTAATAGCGCCACAGAGTGTTACTGCCTCCAGTACTCAGTAAAGAAGACGAGGGAAAGAGACAGGAATATGCAAGGCTTCTGCAAAATTCGACATTCATTCCACCTTCTGAAAAAATGCAGGCTTTTTAAAGATTTCCTCACAGAAAACCAGCTATTGCAAATTCAGTGCATTGGTTGGGAACAGAATTAACTTTGCCTAGACCTTTTAAAAATGTCAGCACTTTAAAAAAGTAGCATCAGTGAGAGTGCATTCACCTTTCCCTCCTTCAAAGATCAAACACCAAAACGGGCACAAATTGTCACTCTGAAAATCTTTAGGCCACAAGCACAGCCCACCTGCCTTTAACTTCATAACACCATAGGTGTGCCCAGTGGCGATTCCCAGCAGCCAGACTTCAACAAGTGCTACTTAGAGCAGCAAACTGGTCTGGCTCTCTCTGTGCTTGAAGAGGGCTGTGTAAAAGACAGCAAAAGCATGTTCCTGTTGTGTAACTGCAGGCATGCATTCAATTTTCTGCTGTATTCTAAATTTAGTAAATAACATAGCAGTTACAGTTTGTGGTTCTCTGTTACAGACTCTACAGAATTTGCAAGAAGTCCTGGAAAAACACAACAAGGATATGAGAGCTGTGGAGATGGCCCCAGCTGCAAAAGAAGCTCTCTCAGTCAGCAGGGATTGACTGTAACCTGGGCAGAAAAACCCAGAAACAGCTCAGAAGGTGTTTCTTTTTAGAAAACATGCAGCAGTAGAGGGCATCAGACAACAAGAAATCCTGTAGACCTTAATGTATGCTTGAAGTGCTGAAGGCCCAGTGAAGGGAATGGGAACTAGAGAGGTACAGATTGGGATTCTGCAATGCAGGTGAGCATCAGAGAGCAGACTCTGAGAGAAGTCAAACCAGACACATCACTCCTTCTGTGCATGTTGGCTGTAACCATTCCAGCATGTTAATGCTGTGGTGGGAGGGAAAAGGGAAGGGATCACCTTTGGTACTCAAACTTGCCTCAGAGGTGCTCCACTAACAATCCAGCCTTAGCACTGCAATTTATTCCACCAACTCACCGCAACATCTCCCTTCTCTCAGAAGATACAAAAATGCAGGAAACTGTTAGTAAAGCAAGATTGCTCTTGGGTAATGCCTCATGCTGTCCCAAAACACTCAGTACAAGAAGACTCACATAAGAAAAACCAAGAAATTAAGCACTAGCCAGCATGTAACCTTAATTTGTCCATTTGAGCGATGGCTAGGAAACAGGCAGCACTCAGAAGTGAAGCTAAATGACTCATTTTCTGTAAAAGAAAATTCAAGCCACTTACCAGCATTTCCTCCCCACCCTAGAACTATTTGTCCCAGCATGTGCAGAGACAACCACCTCACTGCAGCATGCACTCAGGGTGACCATAAAGTGAAGAAATTAGCTCAATTTCTATTTCTACAACAAAGGGCTGCTCCGTAAGTACAGCAATTTTCTCTTTTCCTTGGTGGAAGTGAGGAAATGTTCATTGGGAACTATTACTCATAGTGCCTTTAACAGGAATGTCTCAGACTTGAAGGAGATCATTCCCATCCCTTGAGAGTGGTTAGGCAGAAAACATTTTAGCTGCATCTGTGGCGTTCCCCAGCCCGACCCTCACGCCCTGTGTGAATGTCAGAGTTATGCAAACAGCAGGGGGAAGTGCAGCTTGAGGCTCCATGAGAAGCCAGAGCATGCAGCTGCTTGGAAGTTCTGGCACAACACGCTTTTCCTGCGGTGAGCTGTGGGACGTGCAGCTACGGCACATTTCGGTACTGCCGTCAGAAACGCTGCACAGTAGCAGCACTCCTCGTGCCGGAAAAATTTGGGATCATTTTAAGTCACCAGTCTGTCAGCTGCCTGCTTTGAACACAACTCGACCAGGTACTGTATCCCTCCCTTACTATGTTGGGAAATACACAGCAAAATGTTAATGGCTATTTGGAATATTTTTTTTCCTTCTGTAGATAAAAATATCTCAAGGGAGTTTTTAAAATACTTTTCCCTTTAGGACAACATTCTTTTCATACAAGGCTATGTACAAAGTGAGAGCTGCAGGCTATGTGTTTACAAGTCTGGGTTTCCTTTTAGCTATATCAAGTCTACAAAATAGGAATCTTTAAAAGAAATTTTCACAGACTGAACAGCACTGAATTCAAGTGGTATTAATTATGTGACTTTTCACTGAGTGTTGCCAAGCTGATGTCACAAATATGCACTGTTTTCAAGAAAACTGCATATGAGTATGTCCAAAACAACAAGTATTTCCTCTGATGAGGTTTTAGTATCTTGTAAGTATTTTGTAAGAAAGGTAAAGACTGCTTATAAACTTTGAATCATTACAGAAAACAAATGATAAAATATGAAAGATATGCAAGCTATTCCCCCCTGCATTATTAAAACAGATGAAGAAAGGAACAAAAACTAAATTACTTTAGGGGAGGGATTAACAATGGGAAAGGGAGGAAGGCATTTTGCTTTAAGCTGAATTCAGTTTAGATAGCAGAGGGGAATGCTTGCTTGTGATTTCTCTGCCTGGGCTCCCATCACCTTTCACTGAGGAAATGGCTTGACAGCGATAACACCAGTCAGTATAATAAATCAATAGCTGTTTTCTGTGTATTGCCTGCTATTTTACAGGCAGCTTCTGGGGAGGTTCAGCCTTGAGCTCCAGCTGCACTTTAAATCTGAGTCTCTCTACTGTGTGGCAACCAACTGCACAATTAAATCTGATTATGTCCAACTCCCTTTTACTTCAATTCTTTTGGAGGCTTATCGGATACAAATGGTAAAGATGGCTGAGGTGTTCTCTTGTACTTTTCCTACAAGGATCCTGCTTAGGATGCAGCAAAGGCACAAACTCACATGCAGGAAACTGAGTGTCTCTAGATAGCAGTGCTGCCTCAGCTTTGGTGCTTGTAAGCAAGTGTTTGGATGCCAGTTTTCTAAGCACAGAAATTTAATTTTTCCCACTGAAGCTTGTAGTATTGATGGATAATCTGCTTAATATATAATTTCTGGAAAACAAAAATAAATATGAAACAAACATAATTCATAAAACTGAGGTGCTTGGGACACTTGAGCCAGGCGTGGGATAAATTTCAAAGTCTATTTCAAAGCTTTAGAATGAAGCTCACTCAGCCCCTACTTCAAAGTCTTCAAATAGTTTAATCTCACTGTCCTGACAGTGAAAGAAAACCCCCAGAGAAACCTCTTCATTCTCAGAGTTAAATAACAAGAGGTCATGAATTCTTCCAAGAAATTATAATTGTTGGAAAAAGATTACTAGAATTTCTATGACTAAAAATTCTTCTTACAAGCCTGAAAAGAAACTTAGCATATTATGTGAAAAAGCACAATGCTGCAACTGTCTGTGGTTATAGAAATGTAAATTATATTGAAGACTGGATTTTAAAGCACTATTTTTTCATTTCAGAACATTAAGTATTTCTTATATAGATGATTCATGTAAGACAATTGAATTATTTTGCTATTTTGAAATATTTTGCTATTGGGCTAGCAATAAAAATAGCATTAATGCTTTTATTCTTCTTCATTTAGGGTCTGATCTCAGGTGCACTGGAGTAATAAAACAGAATTTTAACAGGCTTTAAGTTTTTAATATATTTTTATTGCAGAATATGAAAGATATGCAAGCTATTGCTACTAGGAAGGTGTAACTATGACAGAGTACTCTTGGTTTTGCAGGATTTGAACACTCCAAATGCAGAAATGATTTGGCAACTAACATCTCATTGGTAAGAAAAAAATCATGAGTTACTGTTGTATCATACTTAGATCTAAAGTGAGTGAAGCTTAATACTGATGCAATACTGTGTTATAAAAGAATAGCATTGTTTCTCTCACAATATGATTTTTAGGTTTTTTTTTCTTGTTATTTACTTTTTCACTACCCAAAAGTCCCAGTCCAGGCAAAAACCATGTCAGAGGAAGTTGATCCCATTCTCAGCTTCCCAGAACAACCCTTTATAAACATCCAAAGCCACGAAGCAAAATTACTTGTATTCCATCTACTGCCTGTAAATTCCCATGAGAGACTGCTCACAGGAAACTTGGAAACAATCAGGAAAGGAGATTTTTAAAGTTATGGTACTGACATTTTCCTCTTCATTACCTCAGTTTGGGTAAATGATAAACACTTAGCACACCCTCTGTGTCTGGGCAGAGTGGTTTGTCTGCAGCCAAGCTCACGATGGAGAGTGACTGGCCATGTGCAGGGGGAGTGATGAATGGCCAGGTCACTGGCTTCTTTTACTCTTCTGTGTTTCAGGTCACCCCTGGTTACAGCCCTGATTTTTGGTCTGCTTCTGCAAGCACCATTCACACAGCCTTCCACCATCACACGGCCAAACTTTGTCCTGCTGCTGGCTGATGATCTCGGCATAGGGGATGTAGGTTGCTATGGGAATGATACTATCAGGTGAGGAAACTGACCCTAAGGGTGAACAGAGCTGGTGTGATATTTAATGTAAACCTGAAACCCTCTGCCCAGCATTGTCTCACAGCCTGGAGGGCATTCCCAGGGCCAGCTCTGCTGTGAGGTGCTGCTTTACTGTGGGAATATGACAATCATTCCTGTGTATTCCTTAACTGTCTAACACTTCAAAAACAGCTATACCCAAAGGTAAAAACATTGTCCCCTCTTCCAACACACAGGCCTCATTACCTCATTATAATTCTGTTACTATTTTCTCCCAGCCTCACCTCAAAATATAGTTAAATGACTGCAATGAGCAATGTTACCAGGAAATATTTCTCTTTTCAGCTTCAAGGACATAGAATTTGCCTTCTCTTTAAAAATTGTGCCACAGTATTGCCTGATGGCCTGTAACACGTATGAACAAAATGAAATTTGCTACAATCCCTCCCCTCATCCAGCAAAGTTCTTGGAATCTTACCCTGAAAGGTTTCAGTCAGCAAGTTCCTGACAGGAGCTGGTGATCACAGGTAGCTGATAGGGTTTGACAAAGCCAGGCCTCCACAGCATCATCCCCAAGGCATGCATTTCCTTTTACATTCAGGGTGTTACTACTAGCAGGGTGACAAGCATCTGGGCTCTCTTAGCAGCTGGTTCTCTGCAATGCAAAGAATGGCAGGATTTTGAAACAGCAGTTTGGGAGCACCTAGTGCTCCTTTGAGGAGGAATGCTTATCAGCTAACTGAGATGGCAATTGTGCTGAAGGGTGGAACTAGACCAACTGCTTTGCCAAGTTACCTTGGACTGCACCTCTGGTGAAAGGCTGTAGAAAATAAGAAATGCTGCAGATGTTATTTCCTGGCAGCTGTGTTTGAGGGAGAAATCCATAACAGTACAAGTACAAAGCAACAAAACATCCAGGATCTTTCAAAATTCTACTGAAGGTTTTGCCTTCTTGTGAACACCATTGAACTGATAATTGCAAAAACAAAATTGTAAAACTGAAGCTCAATCTAATCTAAAATAGAAGTAGGCACACCTTGAATTGGAAGAGGGGGATATTGTATTCTGAAATGTAAAATATTGCCTTGTCTGTAACTAGTGTGCTAGGCAAGCTTGTTGGTTGCCAGTTGTTGGCAAAATACCCTCTTCTCACCTACTTACTGATGTGTGGCTTAATTCATGTTGCTGTGAGAGATTGCCACTACAGTGTGAAAACATGCACGATTTCTTTCCCTTTTTCTCCTTCTCCCTTGCTACAAATGTCATGAGAAGCACCTTGTTAGCTTCCTTATCAGTACCGTAAGTCATGGAGCGTCTTGTCTAGTCAAGCACTGTCACCCTGTGGCAACCAAATTACCATACACTGATACACTGAGGCTGACACACAGCTCTGTAAGAAGCTAGTGAAGGAAAGGCAGCTCTGGGGGAATGAAAGGTCTTTGCTGTGAGGGTGGTGAGGCACTGGAACTGGTGGTGAGGCACTGTGTTGTCTGGAGAAGCTCTGTGAATACCCCATCCTTGGAAGTGTTCAAAGCCAGGTTGGATAGGGCTCTGAGCAACTTCATCTAGTGGAAAGTGTTCCTGCCCATGGCAGGAGGGTTGGAATTTTGTGATTTTTAAGGTCCCTTTCAGCCCAAACCATTCTACAATTCTATGATTTCTGCAAGACTCTTCATAGGACAAGGCGAAAAGAAAAAAAGAAAAAGGTTATCTCGAAATTGATCCAGATACTGATTTTTAATGAAGAAAGAAAAATAGAAATATTTCCTATCACTTGAGAAAATTTAAATAAATTACAAAAATATTTCCTGGCCATCTTCAAATAGGACAAACTTCTGAAAATAAAGATAAGTCTATAATTTCTTATTCCCCTGAAAGACTCTGTGGATGATTATCTGGTGGCATTGGTTGCATTTTTAGGACCCCGAACATTGATGGCCTGGCCAAGGAAGGAGTGAAGCTGACCCAGCACATCGCTGCAGCCCCGCTCTGCACGCCCAGCAGAGCAGCTTTCCTCACTGGCAGATACCCCCTCCGATCAGGTTTGCCTTGCAAAGCCTCACACCCTTCAAACATTGCTCTACTGCTGGAGAGAACAGTGCCATACAAGGGGCACAGAAGAAATGAGGGTGTGCAAACAGAGGTTTTGCTCCATCCTCACTGAGACACACGAGGTGTCAGACAGGCTTTGAGGTGGCTTCTCTGTTTGTAAGGTATTTGTGAACTGGTCTGGAGGGAAGCAGAGCAGAGAAGAATCAGCTTTGCAGAGCTTGGTCTCCCCCAAAGCACAATTCTGGCTACCTTTTGGCACTCTTTGGTACAGATTGCAGCCAGAATGGAGTTAGAGCAAACTGTTACATTCAAAAAAGTCATTATGTAAAACAGGAAGAATAGTAACAACACGCTTAGAAAGCACTACCTAAATTAATTTCTGTCAGAGGTGACTCATCATCAGATGTCAGAAGCAGCTCAGCCCTGCAGGGAGCAGAGTAGGCCTGTGCAGATGTGTGTCCATTCCTTCCAGTCAAGGTGCAGAACAAGTAATTCACGGGAAAGCTTCTTTACGTATCTGTCAAAATTAATCTGTCCTAGGAGATAACAGTTTGACAGCAATATTATTTTTCCCAATTGTGTTTTTGAAGAAAAAACAATATCCTGTCAAACTGCATCCCTGAGATGAAGAGGTATGAAAAACAAATCGCTCTACATGTTTCTAACAGCAACCCTCAAATGCTTGTTCTATTGCAAATTATCTTCGGAGCCTTCATTCCTGAGGCATTTTGAAGCTGATATGTCATCCTTCTTCTATCATGACAGCTCCCACTGAGACTGGTAGTTTGAAAACAGTAGTAGTTTGAAAGGGCTTGTACAGACCCTTTCCCTCTGTAACAGCAGGGCCAGAGATGTTTGGGGCTACAATGAGAGATTGAACTTTACATAGCGCTGTATGATGGGGTTATGCCAGGTTAAAATACTAAATAATAGGGAGTAAACCTGCAGGTGAAGAGGAGATAGCTACTCTGTGGGGCTCAGAGATCAGATACCAGCCATGCCACTGTGCAAGGATGCCCTGAGCTCCCTGGCAGCCCTCAGTGAGCTGGAGACTGAGACTGACAGGGGGCTGAAGTCTCCTTGCCCTCTCCCTACCCTCACATTCACACTAAGGAAGGGCATTCCATACAGCCCAGGTGCCACTGTGACATAGAAAATCTCCTACACAACCATGTAATTCCAAATGAAAATAAATTAAATTAAAAAAGTGTTGATATGAGATACAAAAATGAAAGAATAGGCACTATGGTGAGTCTTAGCTCTTTCTTAATATCATCTAGGGTCTTACCAAACAAACAGCATTAGGAAAAATGTTTAACACTACCATTTCAATGAAATCAGGAAACAAAAACGTATGTTGGATAAAAGACCTCAACCCTTTATACTGACTCAGATGGTTTTTATTGCATTTTTAGGGATGGATGCTATAAATGATTACCGTGTTATTTTTTGGAACGCCGGCTCAGGAGGGCTTCCTCCAAATGAAACCACTTTTGCCAAAATACTGCAGCACCAAGGCTACAGCACAGGACTGATAGGTATGGAGGCACTCCTCTCCTAAAGATGCTCTTGCATGTGTTTCACCTGCACATCTCACTCAAACCATTTGTTTTAGTTAGTAACTGCTCGTACTTCAGTTGTAATATTTTTATTTTCTGATTAAGAATAATATATAAACAGAAACTCTGACCAAAAAGTACCTCTCTTAAAAGAACAAGCATATGATAAAGAGGGCAATTTTACCACTGACCCAGTTTCGAGCACAGCTGTGGTTGTTAAAATACATAACAGAAAATTTTATTAATTCATGAATATTATTATGCCAGGTATAAAATACTTATTCCAATACTATTTCATTTTAAAAAAGTGAAAATATGAGTGTCATTTAAATATGCATGATGATGTTTTATACACTTCAGAGCAGATTCACACAAAAGGGAACAGCTGCTACTTAAAACATCAGAGACAGTTAACAGTGTCACAAGATTGGGCCTTTCAGAAACAGAAACAAAGCAATTATTTTTTTCTTCAGTCACAGCATGCCACCGCAGCTCACCAAGATTTCAGTACACCCCAAGAACACTGACTTCTTCAGCATCAATGTGAATTTCATTTTACTTTCTATTTTATAGCTCTATTGGTTTTTTTTGTACAGTTGTAACTTTTGGTCATGATCTTGTTCCAAATAATTATTTATCTTAGATGCGTCACATAGTTCCACAGACTGATAGAGTACAAACATTCCTGGCTGATTTTTCAGCTATTTGCCCTACTTCAACCAAGCATGTAAAATGTCAAAATCTGAAATCTGTATCTGGCACATAAAATAGCTGCACAAACCAACTGAATTTATTAATAAAACTTCCTGCAAAAATAGATTTGTATTCATTCAACAGAATAAATCTAAACCACACCAGACAAAACTAAAAGATGCCTTCCGAGCAATTACAAATCTACATTACCGACGTTCCATCTCCTGTTAGTTTGGTAGCAATATTATTTTAGTTGTTTAAATCAGCTCATAGACCAGACTGTGCACGCTTCAGCTTCATCTTGGTTTCAGCATGTTATCACTAGCAAAACAATCAGTTTTGTCTCCCCTCTCCCCAGGGAATTGCCCTACAGCGGAGTCCTGCTGCTTGCCTCCCAGAAGCAAACGGGGAGGCATTTTCCCTGTGGTCATCTCAGCTAAAATCACACCACAGGTGCCAAAAGCATCACTTAGATTAACCAGATTGACAGATCCTGATTAATTGCACCATGGGGATGATGGAAAGCACCAGTGATAGGTGACACACAGAATAACACAAGAATTTTACATTCAAGTCATGAAGCAAAAAATCTTAACATCTACTCATGTCACTACAGCTGAATGAGCACTAAGTAGTCTCACCTGAATTGTTTGTGATTGTTTTGCCCTGAGCACAACCAGTTTAATTGCAAAGTTAAATCCTATTAATAACCTGCAGCCTGAGGTGATAATGAGATTTTTTGTTGGGAAATGCTTTGAAGGTTCTTTGCAGTCAGAAAACCAATGCTGTATAAGTAATGCCCTCAGAGATTAATTTATCTTAATTATACACTTAGTTTAGCTTCTGCAGATTTGGTTCTTTTCTAGCATGTCAGAAACATTTATTGACCTCAGCTGGAGATTTAGGTGTTGAAGTGCATCTGAATTCCAACAATACTTTAGCTGCACCTGTATTTATGACCTATGCATTTATGTATTGATTACAAACCTGTTTCATTCTACAGCTAGCTCTAAATATGCCAGGAGGTAAACTGAGTAGAGATTTCAGCTGAAAGCAATTCATCCACTTACTCTAGAACTTCCATTCTTCCTTTATATTTACAGCCAAGAAACAGCATTTTTTTTCTCCTCTGGGGCAGTTTTTCTGCTCCTATTGTAATGCACTGCAATTCTATTGAAACCCACTCAGAGCTGGCTACTATTACATGTACTGATAACATACTGAACCATTTATTGAGGATAACTTCATCCTGGAAGTGCACAGTTCCTCTCTCTACAATAAGAATTAGTTTCAAATTAGTTTTCAAGTAAAGTTCTTAATGTCCATTATACTCTGACATCCAAGATCTGCAAAAAATGCCATTAAGCCTCTGATGAGTGGTAGATTTTATTCACTCAATTCAGATGTTGTCAAACCTCAATGTTTGAACCAAACGAGCCAACTTACTATATCCCCACGTAAGTGCCTAACCAGGCTGTTTGAGTAGGCTGGAGGTTAGCAAGCAAAAGCATGGTTTAGATGTGCCATTCATGAAAGTAGTTGGTATATTCATAATGAAGAACAAATTGTGTTGCAAAAGGTCAAGAGGTGTTCTTTCTGATCAATGAAGACTTCAGTATTTAAAAGAAGTAGGCTTTAACTTTTTAAAATTTGATTAAATCCAAATAAATGGCAAAAATATTTATAAAACAAAGGTTTTTATTCTCAATCAGTATGTGGAGATATAATGATCATCAATGTTACTTAGAAATGTACAGCTTCATGAGAAATCCTGATCTCCTGAGCTCAAGTTTTTCTGGATCCAGTTTTTCTGGAAAACAGTTGGATGAGCTGCTAGTTTAACTACTCTTTCCATACCTCCCCTTATCAATCTGGCACCAACATAAAGTGTTGCCATAGTCCTGACACCAAGCACTTCAAAACCTCCCAGGAACAAGTCTGCATAGCACTTTGAAGGTAAAGGGACAACAAAAGAAGATTATTTCCCCCTATGCTTACAAAAGGAGAGCTTCCTTCTGTTTGATACTTGACAGGTCTCCAGGAAGGCCATACATTTTTGTTCAGTTTGAAACTTTTCTCAATTTCCAGTTGTTTTTATATGTTGGGGTTTTTTTTCAATGTTTGATAGAAGCTACAGGGCATGAATATATATACAGAGCACCAAAAAATGTGTTGAAAATTTATAAACTGTAGAGGTTTACTTTAGTCAATCCCATTATATAACTCTATACTTGGTATATTTCTGTGTAGGATGAAGCAGTTATCACAAGCAGAAAACAACCAACCACTTTTTGAGAAATGTTCTGTGTAAGGAAAAGTCCATTCTTTTAAAATATTGTCCCTTCATATTTTAATAACCTCTATTTTCAGGGAAGTGGCATCAAGGTGTGAACTGTGAGTCCCGCAATGACCACTGCCATCACCCTTTAAAACATGGATTTGACTACTTCTATGGGATGCCTTTTACACTTATAAGTGACTGTCAGCCAACAGAAACACCAGAGATGGACAGAGCCTTCAGGAGGAAACTCTGGCTTTCCACTCAGATGATTGGCCTCATTACACTCACTGCTGTCCTTGGGAGACTGACTGGCCTGATTTCAGTCCACTGGAGAACGCTGACCTGCCTTGCTGCCTTCAGTCTCCTGTTCTTCATATCCTGGTTCTCGAGTTATGGATTTGTGCGGTACTGGAACTGCATTATGATGAGAAACCATGGAATTACTGAGCAGCCAATGGTGACAGACAGAACTACGTCCCTTATCTTGAGAGAGTCCATTTCATTCATTGAAAGGTAAAGACTTCCTTTGTCCACAAATTTTCTGGTTCTTTTACATTTTGCAACCTGTAAACAGCACTTTCCTCCTTCATGTCTTCATAAGTTTTTATAATTTTACAGTATTATATAGTATTTTAAGTACTATTATTTTTATTCATTTTAAATAATATCAATAGTTATATCATGTAATTAAAAAAGAAAAAAAAGCTGCTGCTTAAGGATGCCCCTTATTCCTAACTTCACTAAAGCTGATTAATACTTCCCAACTTCCATGGGTTGTATTGAATATTTCTAGGCCATATTTAAGAAATATGTATATCTATCAATGAGAGCAGCATTGCAGCCTTAAGGAATAGCAGGTGGTGTCAGAAATGTGTGTGTGGGCCAGGGAAGGAGAAGCAGAGCTGTGATGTAGCCTTATCATATGGACTGATAAGTGAGCAACAGCTGGCAGGGGGTGAAACTGCTGCCTTCACTTCAGTAGCACAGTAGTGCTTTGCAATAGCAGGAAGTGGATCATAGATAGAAATCTGGAAGTTTTCTATCTATGATTCAGAGTAGAAAAAGGATATTTTATATAGACCCAAAATTATTCTAAGGGATCCTTATCACTGGGTTATAGTATCTTACAAAATAAGGTGTTTCTGAAGGGACTGTTGAAATAGCTATACAAAAATAATACATTTTCACTACAACTGATCTGCATCGAGGGCCTTCCTCCCTAATAACACAGTGTTGATTTCTGTTTTGTAGAAATAAGCACAAGCCATTCCTCCTCTTTCTTTCCTTTTTGCATTCCCACACCCCTCTCCTCACCACAGAGAAGTTTCTCGGGAGAAGCAGACACGGTTTATATGGAGACAATGTAGAGGAGATGGACTGGATGGTGGGTAAGTCAACAAGGCAAGTAGCTATGTCTCCAGCTATCAAATACCTAGGTCTAAATAAACAGATTTTATTAAAAGAACAAGGAAGATGATTAAAAGCACATACAAAAAAACATAAGCATTTAATGAACATCTGTCAATCTTGTGTGAGCACTGATGATTTCTAGTGTTGGGTTTTTACTTTCTCCAGTCTTGGGCCAAATGTTCACTCTTTTTTTTTTTTTTTGGTCAAGTGTTTACCAGTTTTAACCATGTTCCCTTAGCTCCTGTCAAGGAGCTCTCCTGTTCCTCTTACTAAATATGTGATAATTATTTCATTTTCTATGATTAGTAAAGACCAGGTCATTTCAGCCTCTTATGGTCATTTCTAAGCAGGACATGTCAGAAAGTGATAAAATCAATAAGCAAATTATTTTCAGATGAAAAACAGCAGGTTGTTTATTTTTGACTGCTGCGCTAAGCAGAATACTGGAAATTTTTCAGCCATGATCATAAATTCGGAAATGTTCATCAGTGTTCTCCAGTATGCCCCCCCCCAATAAGATTCATGTTATTTTTCAGGCTGTTTTTCTGGAGGGGAAGGAGAATTATTTATCATTCAGTCTGATGGACAAAAAGTATCCACATTTGCAAAAGAGAGAGAAGTCAGGTACACATACAAGGAGAATTTGGTTTCAAACCTGTCAAACATTTACGTACTGCAAATGTAATTAAGGATGTCAAAAACAGCTCAAGAATTACTTTTAAATTTAAAGGCATTTCATTATTAATGCATATTATATCCATGCAGTAATGTAATGCAAATCTTAACTGTGATCTAGACAGATAAAATAAGGGTAACATTATGTTTTTCCATATTTTTCATGATGGCTACCACTGATGCAGACATTAACTTTTAGATCATCATTTCTTTCCATATTTTTAAAGTACATGGTATTTTTTTTTGCCCTTGACCATACAGGCTTTTTATCTGTGACTTTTGTCTATGGTTCTTGCACTCCCTGTTAAAATACCAATAATAAAGTAGTGGTGACAACGCAGCACAAATTTTCTGTGTTTTTAGAGACAATGAAATCATAACAGAAAATATCAATCTTAAAAATATTAAACAATGAGCAACCTTATGTAGGTAAGAAATTACACTGGTAAATGTTCACAAGTCAGAGGTTAAAATTTATGTAGTATGAGGGATATTTTTGCTTTTTAATATACACATATTCTTGCGTTTACAGGCCAGGTTCTCGATGCTATTGACAAGGAGGGCTTGAGAGAAACTACACTAGTTTATTTTGCCTCTGATCATGGTGGATGGCTGGAAAGACAGGAAGGTGAAAGGCAGCTGGGTGGCTGGAATGGAATATACAAAGGTAAGAGCTGTCAGGGACAGTGACAACCCAGCAACAACTAGTAAAGAAATTAAGGCACCCCTAAGGCTTAAGTAAGATTATATACTCCAGGAGTAACACTGGTTTATTATCAAGAAGCAAATATGTGTCGTTCTAATAAAGCATGTAACAATGTAGTAAATTCTAACCTGGGCAGGTGTCCTTTGTAAGCATGAATTCTCAGATTGTTAGGTTCTAGTCTACTGAACATATTTTCACTACTGCTCAGTAGGAGCTTAGCAGCAAAAACAAGAGAGTAAAGAAGGCTCATCAAGGTAACATGATAATACAATAAAATTTGTGCAAAAATTATTTTAAAACAAACTTATTTTTTGATTTTTCTTTTTATTTAATGAAAGGTGGAAAAGCTATGGGAGGCTGGGAAGGAGGAATCCGTGTCCCAGGGATATTTAGATGGCCAGGAGTGTTACCTGCAGGCACAGTTATTGATGAACCTACAAGTCTTATGGATATTTATCCTACTGTGGTTCATTTGGCTGGAGGGGAAGTTCCTCAGGACAGGTACAAACAAAAGCATCTTTATTCCTCCTTCTTTCCCAAAACTAAGGAAAATCTAGCTTGGGAACACATTCTAAGAGCTTAATGCTTTCTTTTTCAGTCCTGTTCATTTTTTAGACAGATCAATATCTATGAGTTCAATCACCTCTTTTCTACCTCAGAGATTCAGCCCCTACCTGCCATCATCTGCAATCCCCTTCCTTGTCCAGAGCTGCCAGTTCCAGGGAGAGGTGTGCAGAGGGAGCAGAGTCCTGTGCAGCTCACCTCAGCCCTGTGGTGTGTTTCTCGTGCCAGGGTGATGGACGGCCGGGACCTGCTGCCTTTGCTGCGTGGAGCAGCGGCACACTCGGAGCACGAGTTCCTGTTCCATTACTGCGGCGTGCACTTACACGCCGCGCGCTGGCACCAGAGGGACAGTGAGTACACAGCTTTGTCACAGACGTCTTTCATGAAAAATCCTTTTGATAGGGTCTTTTTCTCTTGAGAAGCTGAGAGGCCTCAGAAATGAAATGTAAACAATAATTATCTGCTGCTGTGGAATGCAACAGGTGCACCTTTGATTGGTCTCATGTGGTAGTTTTAATTAATGGCCAATCACAGTACAACTGTCTCAGACTCTCTGGTCAGTCACAAGATTTTATTATCATTCCATTCCTTTCCTTGCTAGCCTTCTGATGAAATATTTTCTTCTATTCTTTTAGTACAGTTTTAATATATCATTTTCTTTTAATATAATATATATCATAAAATAATAAATCAGCCTTCTGAAACATGCAGTCAAGATTCTCGTCTCTTCCCTCGTCCTGGGACCCCTGCAAACACCACCACACAGCTTCTCTCAAAGAATGATGTTCACTCTACAGGAGGGCACATTGTTCTAACACAGTATTGTTCTGGGATTCCGTCTTCCCAAGTACTTCGGGTGTAACGTGGCAAAGAACTTATTGGCATTACCTGTATTGTACAGCACCAGGAGAAATTACTGCATTAGCTAATAAGTGTAGAGCTGAAGTGCATCCAGAAATGAACTCTAGAAAAACATTCACTCTTCCTTGTTGTAACCAGCCTTCTGTGATCCTTTCTTTCCTGCCAGCTGGAGCTGTTTGGAAGGCTCATTACATGACTCCCAATTTCAGTCCTCCTGGAGCTGGGGCCTGTTATGACAGAGGATTTTGCCAATGCTTTGGGGAAGGAGTGACCCATCACAAGCCTCCATTGCTGTTTGAGCTCTCACAAGACCCTTCTGAAGCCAAACCTCTCTCGGCTGACACGGAGCCCCTCTTTGACACTGTCATAAGGAAGATTGGCAGGGCCATAGAGGAGCATCGCAGGACCCTGACTCCAGTGCCACAGCAGCTCTCTGTGTCCAACGTGGTGTGGAAACCATGGCTGCAGCCGTGCTGTGGGACCTTCCCCTTCTGCTGGTGTGATAAGGAAGGTGATAATAAACTTGCTGACCTATAAAGGAGAGAACCTGATACTTTCTCAAAAATGTATTTAGATTAAGAGTGTTTCCTTTGGGGGTGTTGACCCCATGGGTCATTTTTTCCCCTAAATTGAGCCTTTATAAAATAATTGTTCCAGTCAATGGCACAGTATTTAGTAGAGGTAGCTTTAAGCTGGACACTCTCAGAGAGGGCTCAAGACAGATGATCCAAAGACCATGTTTTAACTAGCATCTGCTGACAAGTGAATGAATAGTTCAAATGCACTGAAGCAGGCCAAGATTAGAGCTGTACAAGTAATGATTCTGAATGTATATTCAGAAGCTTTCCTTTGGGTTTTTGCACTGAATTTCTAAGTGATTCCTGGACTGAGGTCTTCCTTAATTTTGTTATCCTTATGTCCCTTTTGTTATCCCGGCAATGCATAAGGTGACCCTATAATAATTTTTTGCAGTCTACTGCTTCCAAAATCATTAGAAAATAGTCTTGCCTGCAGTTCCTCAGAAAATCTTTCTTAGGAGAGGCTTTCTTCTTCCCTTGTAGCTAGTGACTCCAGCAGCAGTGATGATGACATCTGATTGTCCTAGGCAAGGTGTAGAGCTTGGAAACGTGACAACCTAGGCAGTGGCTGTCTGAGCTCTGTGAGAAGGCTGGGACTCCTCCAGCTGGAGTCAGCCTCTTTTCATGGAGAGGAAATAAAGGAAAGCATTGTCCTTTTCCAAAGGTCCCTTTGCCCCCAGCTCCCCAAACAGCACTGGCAAGGGCCTTTTGCCATCGATGGCCACAGCAGTGCCACACTGATAACCAGTTCAGTGATTTGGGCACAGGACTGCACAAGATACCCTGCTGCCCAGACCTCAGTCATAAGTGTTTCCTGCTGACAAGTGGTATGAAAGAAAGATGGCAAACAGTAATTATGAAAACAAGCAATAATTTGATATGGAAAAAGAGAAATGGAGAATTAAGGTATTTTTTTGCTTCACAAGTTACATTTTCACTCCAAAGAGCTAGAATTACTTGGGTCTATCTCTTTGCTTTCGTGTTTTTGTTTTTTTTTGCTGCAGTTCTTTTCTTCTTTGTGCTAAAATATTTGTTTCTAATTAAGCAGCCTTGCAGGTAATGCTTTTCTTTGTAGGGCTGTAAATACATCTGTTCAAATAGACATGTTTACACTGGTATATCAGAATAGTTACACATCTGAGAACATAATTTGCCCATTTGTTTTACTTCACTGTTTTTAATTATTCTTTAATTTCTGTACTAGGACCAATTTATCTTATTCATCTTACTTGGTAAACATTTGGTTTATTTTGGTTTTATTTCCTCTCTTGTTTCCTACAATTCAGTCACCAGGAAATCTGCAGGTAAACAAAGCCCTGCAGCTTAAAAGCAAAATTTTATTTTATGCTGTGACTTCATGCATTTCACATTTATAATTCAATCAGATGCTCCATCAGTGTTATTGATGAGAAACTTGCTTAGTCTTACTGTGAAAAATTCAAGACATTTGCTAAATCCATCACTTTCACGTGTTCTGATTGCTGCTACTTCCTCCATTGTCAGAAATGTCTGTTTTTTTCCTCATTTGAGTGTATTCTGTTTAACTGGTTCTTTCTTGGAGAGATTTAAAGGTCTTTTCATATTCAAAATGAATTGCTTTCTTTAGCTGAAATTACTGCAATCAGACTGGAATTTTTCAATTTTCTCAGTCATTTTCCAGGATATCACTTCCATTCTCAAACCAGTTTAGTATGTGGGATTTTATTATATATTATGTCCTCTCAACTTTTCAACACTTTTAGGAATGTACAGGTGTAATATCTGTGAATATGAGTGAACCAGTTTTTCTTGTGCTGCAATACTTCACAGCACTGTAGGATATGTATATCCATTGGGACCAGGGTGTAGTGGAAAACATCTGAGCTAGGATTTGTCCTGGACACTGGTGCCAGCACATGAAAGCACAGTGATCATCCCCTGCTGATCTCCAGAGTGCCATGGGATCAACAACCATTCAGGGTAAAAAGGACATTACACTTGGAGTGATGTCAGGCAATGCTAATATTATCACTGCCTTGACAATAACATACTTGGAAACACTCTAACTAGCAAAGACTAATCAGCTTGCTCATATACTTGCTCACATTTCTTTTTCTTTTTTCTACAAGATTCATGGGCTACTATTTCAATGCAAATAATTTGGTTAGACTGACTTTTTCTCCTTAGTCACAACAGGGTTTTCATCTCATTGATTTATGCTGGTTATACCCTAAGGTGACGTAGATAGTGTTCAACAGGATTTCAAGAGCATCTTACAAAACTCCTAAGATCTGAATTTGGATACTGAAAATGTTTTCAAACACAGTAGAAAGCAATATTTGAGCATGAAAATCAAGCTGTTAAAAACATAATTATCTCTTTTCATTTGAAAATTGGACATAAAATATTTGTCTGTTTTACTGAAAGGAGATCTTTGAAGAAGAAGAAGAAAAAAAGAAATCATTCTATAAGTAGTATTGTAGTATTTGATCTTTTATGGTTTGCTTGTTTGTTTGCTTTTACATTAGAAAAGAGCAATATTTTTAAAGCTGGTTTTGAACTCTCCTGGACCCACATTGGTCAAGTGCTTCAGCTTGGCTTCAGCACTTAATCATCAAAAAGATCACAGTTTTCAGTATTTCAAGCTAAGCCTCTGTGGACACCATGATAGAATATTCTGCTAATTTGTCAGGCTTTATTAATAGTTTTGTCCCTGGACATGCAAGTTGGTATCAGTGATGTCTACACTTGAACACTATCTCAAACAAGACTGCCTGTGCTGCAAACCAAAATATCAGAAATCAATGGCAGTACCTGGAAATGTCAAAATCAGGATTATAAATTTCAAAACTCACACAGCATGTGTCAGTACCATGAAACTGAAGGGACACAAAGTTGCCTCATAATTTCCACCACGTGTCATAACATCACATGTGTTTTACAAAGAAGCAATTAAAGTTATTATTGTAAATTACCATTAATATATAAAGAACAAGCTCTTACTTGTCCTGCTTTTCAGGATTTCACTTCAGTTTGCATTGTTTTGTCACTGGGGCTTCACTGTTTTGTTCTTGCATACTTTAGCATCCTTCACAGTTTGTTGATAGTTTTTGTTATAAAGGAATTTACTAATCTCAGTAGAAGACTGGGATACTTGCAAAATTCAAACACGAGCCAGTTACAGAATTGACTTTCTACTATTAAGCAGTTCCTTTATTTCTTACTAGTCATGGCTACAATTAATGAATTATTTGTAACACAAATTTGCAAGTAGTTTTTAAAATAGATGTGCAATCTATATGAAAGGAGTTCAGAAATCGAGAAAAACTGTTAATAACCAGGAGATGATACACAAGTTGATACACAGGTTGATTTACCCTTTTGCATTCGTTCTCTGGAGGCCAAACTAAAGATCTGGTAACAAAGAGTGCTTTATAAGCATCACATCCCCTTACTATGCTTCTGGTTATGGTAGATGGTCAGAGACACAAGATGGAGGAGCCTTTCTAGCAGGACAGAGTGAATTTCCACAGATGTGAGAAATGGAAATGGTGTGATCAGATCTGCCCTGGAGTAAAAGGGCCAAAGCCAAACCCCTGCTTTGTTCACAGAGTCTTTGCAGAGTGGATCCTTCCTTTGAGTCTTGGTTTGCAATCCAGGAATTTTCTGCTGCCTCCTGAATTGTACCATTTCCACCTAGTTTTTCCAAGACCCTCAAAAAAAAAAATTGTCTTCATATTTCTGAAGCTTTCCTTTAATATGTTCTCTTTAATGCATGCAAGCATCCTACAGTGGATGCCTCATTCCTGGTACTCTCATTTTTTTGCCCCTTTTCCCAGCTACCAATTACTTTTTTGGGCAGAAGTTTTTAGTGAAACTATTGCAGTAACTACTGCTATATCCTGATACTATTTAAGACCCAAATTCTCCCCTTCATTTCTGTACACCACACCCACTGATGATGCTGTGAATACCATTGTAATTATCAAGGGCTAGTTAGTAAATTCTGTTTTCTCCTTCTTGCCATAGTGTTTTTTATTAATTTGATCTTCGAACAAGAATATGTCTACATCAAGAATCTTTCTCCTGTTTTCTGCCTTTCTTTGAATAAAGCCCTTATTCAGTGTATTACAGCACCTTTATACCCTCTCCTTAAACCAGTATCACCACACACAGCCAGTAAAAAGAGGGGTCCAGTACCCCCATGGGACTGAGAAGATACATGGCAAGCCAGACTGTGCAACCACATGTGTATTAGTGCTGGCACAGGAGAGAGCTCACAAAGAGAGGAACTATAATAACATCAGAGGGAATCAGCCCAGCTGCCAGGACTGGTGTGTGCACATCAACGTGACAATACAATGATGGATTTTCTTGGATCCCAAGGGAGCTGGTTGGCTCATTCTGCATTAGGCTGGGCTCTTCCACTTCCATGCACAGGATGGTTCTCCACACAGTGTGCTGTGGCCAACAGCCTCACTGCCTGAGATTTAAGAGCTTTCCCTCAGTTGCTGCTCAAGCTCTCATTTGCCTTGGCATTTACAGCAGCTGGATGTCTAGCATCTGCTTTAGAACAATTCTGCCTTACTCAACATGTGCTGCCAGGGGAAGGCAGGGAAGCCCTCCCCTGCAGCAGGCAGGATGAAGTAAATGCCTTTGCCCATTTTTTTAAACGAGACTGACACCTGCCAATTATTCTGATACAACGATATCGTGGTTTTGATAATCCTTCCTTGGAAGCAAAGCTCAGAAAGCCTGAGGTGAAGAGGAAAGTGACAACAAAGCTCCTGCAGTGAGTGAGCATGGAGTAAGTAAGAGATTGGGGGGTTCTTTGAATTTTGGGATGTTTGTGTTTATTTTTTTATTTTTTTCTCTTTTTGGTTGGGTTGTTTTGTTCTGTTAAAAAAATCCCAAACCAAAAAATACCCCCTCCCCCCAAAAACCCCACCCTCGCCTATGTTTTTGGAGATAACTTCTTTT